GGCGGCCTCGGGGTCGCAGCGGCGGCGGCGCACGCCGCGGCCCCAGCCTGAGGCATCGCTGGCGGTGATCTCGTCGTGCCACTGGGCGTCGGTAAACACCGCGAACAGCGGGGGCAAGGAGCGGACCTGCCAGAGCTCGCGGCGGACCGCGGGCCAAAGGGGGGGCACCTCGTCCCGTGCGGCCTGAATGAAGGCGTGCACGCCGTCGAAGATGGCGGGCGAGCAGCGCTTGAGGAGCGTGGCCCACGTGCAGTGCCCGACGACGATCTCGACGATGGCACCGCGCACCCTGGGCCGCCGCAGGAGCTCCTCGATGGCGTAGCGCAAGCGCCAAACCCGTCTGGCCGACACCCGCGCCGTGTGCTTGCGTCCGTCAAGGTCGAGGCCGACGAAGCTCGCATGGCGCGTGGCGTCGACCTTCTCGTGGGCCACGAACCCGAGCGACGAGAGCTCCTGCTCGACCTTGCCCGCCGCGGCCTGCGCCTTGGCGCGCTGACACCCTGCGACCAGATAGTTGTCGACGTAGGCAGCGCCTGCGGCAGGGCGTCGAGGTCCGAGACGGACACCGAGGCTGCGGTCGCGGACATGCTGCTCGGGCGCGATCCTCGCGCGAGCCAGCGACGCCTCGGAGACGCGCTGGCAGAGGTGCAGGGCCCAGGACCAGCCCATCGGCAAGACGGTGAGCTCGGGAAGCAGCCAGTCGGTCGCGCGCAGTGGCACCCCATCAAGATGAGAAGCTCCAGCCAGCCCTGCACGAACGGGGGGGGGGCGAGAAGAACTCGCAGAGGCCCTCCGGGGCGCGCATCGCGTAGAAGGCGTTCGAGATGTCCCCGCTACTGAACCACGTGTTGCCGCTGCCCTGCGTCTCCATGCGTGCGAGCGCGCCGCCGCTGGGCAGCTCGGTGCAGGGGGGCGGCTTGAAGGGGGTGTTGCTGATGCGGGTGTCGAAAACCAGCCGCTGCTGTTCTGACTTCTTGGCGACGACGAAAACTCCCAGGAGGCCGCGACGGCCGCGGGCGGGCGACAGGCGCAGCATCCCGCGGGCCAGCAGCTCGGCAATGAACTCGCCGTAGGTAGTGGGGTGCCGCAGCTTAGGATCGATGTAAGGTTGGGCGAGGCCGAGGTCGCGACGCGACGCAGCCGCCTCCACAGGCGGGCGAAGCATGTGGGCGTTCCAGTCCTGCAGCCACAAACGGTCAGCCTCCAAGAGCGCGGACTCCAACGCGACGGGCGCCGAGCCACCAGAAGGCCAGGGCACGAGGTCCTTGCTGTAGGACGCCATGTCGCCGCGCCCCGCGGTGTAGAGCGGGCAGCTGGAGCATATGTCAGAGAGCGACGAGGACGGAGAGACGTCAGCTGGCGGGCCGCCGAACTTGACGTACTGGTCAGCGATGTAGTCGAGCGACTTCCGCTGCAAAACCGGAGACAGTTTGCGCGCAGGCGGCGAGCCGCCACCAGCCAGCCAGTTGAGCATGTCGACGCCGTCGTTGGCCCAGTCGAGCCGCGCCTGGCAGGGGCCGCCCTTGTCAGCGTGCTGGAGGCCACCAGGAAGCAGATGAGGGAGAGGAAAGACGTTTCGCCGACGACTGACCGTCATGACGTGGGGGCCACGGCGGCAGGGGCGAGTGGCTGAAGGGGAGCCCTCCGGGGGAGCCAAGGCCCCGGCGGCCGCTGCAGGTCTGCGAGGGGAAGGAGGCTAGCTCTTGCCCGCCTTCCCGCCGCCGCCGCTCTGCGCCGCCCCGCGGGCGCCAGCGGGCGGGTGGAGCAGCTGCCGCTCCTCGCGCGCCTTGCGGCGCTCCTTCGCAATGGCCGATTCGGCGGCAAGCTGCTTGGCGATCCACTCCGAGGGGGCGGGCGCGACCATGGCCCCGCGCGTGGACTGCGCCCCAGTGAAGAAGAACTGTTCGTCTCCCCCAGGCCCCGGCGAGCGCGAGCTGACGAGCTTGTCCTTGCGCCGCTCCTCGCATAGCTGCAGCTGGCGCGCCGCGAGCTCCAAGCAGGCGAGGTTGGAGCCGTCGACCTGGTCGTGCGACTGTGCCGCCTGCATGATTTTCGAGCACTCGAAGTGCATGCTGAAGATGGGGTCGTCTGGGGGCGCGCCCGCGCCCAGGGCTGCCTTCCAGGAAAGGTGATGGCCCAGAGGAGACCCACCATTCTCCACCTGGTAGGTCGCCACCCAGTGATAGGTGGTTGGGCCTGGGACAGGTCAGTCTGGGAAGGCCGTCGGCCGCATGAGCTGCACGCTGTCCCGATATTCACGATGCCGCTGGCCCTGGCGACCGTGCGCCGTCGGCAGCGCGCGGAGGTCACCCGCGCCCTCGCCAGGCGAGCCGCCGGGAGGCGGCGCCGCAGCAGCGGGGGCAGGAGCTGGCCCATCAGGGGGAAGCCCAGCGACCAGGGCGGCCAAGCCCGCGAGTCCTCCGCCAGCATCGGGCACCGCGGCAGCGGGAGGCGCGGCGGGGGCACCAGCGGGGGCTGCCCCAGCGGCCGCAGCGCCCATGGCGACAGGGGCGCCCGCTGCGATGCCGCCGTCAAGGGGCCCAGGCCCTCCTCCAGCGGCGACCACGGCATCGGGCGCACCGCCGACACCTCCAGCCCCAGCCCCCTGAGCACTGTCAGCACCACCACGACGACCATCGTGTTCCGCGAGCTTCGCCGCCCCGACGGCGCAGGCCTGCGCGACCTGGGCCACAGTTGGCGCGACGGCGAAGTCGTACCTCCTGATGCCGGCGGGCAAGACGGCCCCGAGGGGGGCAACACCAGCAGGCCACTCCTTCCACCAGTTGCGCACGTCGGTGTTGGCGGCGTCGCACTCCTCGACGTACACGTCGAAGTCGGGGGTGAGCACCGCGAAGTGCTCCACCGAGCGAGAAGCGCCCTCGGCCTCCAGTGCGCGGCGGCCGCCAGCCTGGCGAGTCGGACGCAGCGGGGCCCTCGTCCGTCAGCACGGGCGGAGGGGGGGCGCGGCGCGCGCAAGCGCAGCGAGCCGCCTGAGCGCCGAGCGTCACCGCCTCGCGTGCAAGCTCGGCCGCCAGCAGGAGCAGGCACCCGAGCACGGCCTCCCAACCCAGGGAGGACCGCCCGCCGCCGTCCGCCTCGCAAGGGGGGCAGGCGGGGCAGGGGGAGGGGCAGGTCCGAGCCGCCTCCCTCGCGTCCAGCGCGGCCGCCAGGCAGTCCGCCAGCGGCACCTGGACCCCGGCGGCCTCACCCGGTGCCGGGAACGGGCCCGCCTGCGCAGGCGGGGCAGCAGCTCCCGCGGGCGTCCGCGGCGCCGGGGGCGGGGGCGGCTGCGCGGGGCCCGCGCGCCACCACCAGCGCGCCAGGAGCAGCACGCCGAAATGACCTGCGAGCGGGAGGCCGAGTCCGATGCCAGCGAGGCGCATCGGGTGGAGGGCCTCTCCCTCCAGAAAAAGAGACTTGAGCAGTCGCGGTTGCGGATCGACGGCAACCTGAGAGCAACGCGCCACCGCGACGGCCTTCGGTTCACAAGAGATGAAACGTGCCAACACAGCCATCATCATCCCCACCACCATGTCCCCCCGTTGCCCACCACAACACACACTCCTCGAACCTTGCTACCCCTACTGCTCCCCTTCTCCTCCCCTTCCCCTCATCTCCTCATCCCTCCCACCTCGAGAGTGGCGTCCCCGGGAGCGGGAAGCCCTCACTCCTCCTGCTCCCTTTCCTCCTCCTTCTCCTCCTCCTCCTTCTCCTCCTCCTCCTCGTCCTCCTCCTGCTCCTCCCACTCCACCTCCTCCTCCTCCTCCATTTCCTGCTGCATGTCCTCCTCCTTCTCCTCCTTCCTCCTACTCCTCCTCCTCCTCCTCCTCCTCCTCTTCCTCCTCCTCCTCCTCCCCGTCCTCCTCTTCCTCCCCGTCCTGGCGCGCGGAGCGCGCCGGGGGGCGGCGCCAGGGGGCGGCGCCAGGAGGGCCCGGCGCCTGCCCAGGAAGTCCGCGTGGGTCTCCGAAGGTGTATGCGTCTGGACCTCTCTTGGGCTACGCTGTGGCCATGATTTCGAGGCGAACTCAGCCGTGGCGGGGGGCGAAGGGGAGCGGCATTGGCATCCTTTCCTCCTCGGGTATGTCGCCTCGTGCCGTCCGAGCTCACGAGGAGGAGGAGGAGGAGGAGGAGGAGGAGGAGGAGGAGGAGGAGGAGGAGGAGGAGGAGGAGGAGAAGGTGGACGAGGAGGAGGAGGAGGATGAGGCGGAGGAGGAGGAGGAGGAGGATGAGGAGGACCAGTGTGAACCCAAGAGTCACGATGTTGGATAAACCCTCCCTCCAAACTCCCTCTTCATATGCCCCATACATCGGTTCATGTCCTCTGAGGGAACTGCCTCGTTGGGAAACAACCGTTTGAAGACCCTGAAGCATGCCAAAACATTGTTCTCGGGATTCCAACACCAAGATCAACCAGACTGTTGCGTCTTGACGATCTTGAATCGGGCCAGAACGCCATTCCTGGGACGTCAACACCGCGAATTAATGTAACTGTTGCACCCTCTTGATCCTGCATCTCTCCAAAACACAATTTCTGGTACCTTGATCATGGGAATCCGTGAAGTTCTTGCAATTTGTTTAAACAATGTGCGCGGTGCTAAGGCGAGAACCACATTTTGAAAAAGGACCACCCTCAATCCGTGAAGCTTTTGCAACTTCAAACAAGAATGTCCGCGGCGCTAAGGCGGGAACCACATTTGAAAAACATCCGCCCTCAATCCGTGAAGCTCCTGTGAATTCGTAGAACGAATGCACGCGGCGCTAAGGCGAGAACCACATTTTGAAAACCACCCGCCCTCAATCCGTGAAATTCTTACAATTTTTGATAACTAATGTACGCGGCGCCAAGGCGAGAGCCACGTTTGAAAACGACCCGCTCTCCAGCTGCGAAGCTGTTGCCAACTTTCAGCTTCAAAGTCATGACTCCTGAGGGAGTCTCGGGCGAAACGCCCGGCCCGCGCTAAAAACTGGCCTCGGGGTGCGACAGGGAGGAATTATGTATCAGGAAAAGGAGTGGAGGAGGAAGAAGGTTGTCCCTGGAGCAAATATCAGCTCTTCGGCCGCTTGGACGTTGGCCGTGTGGGGGGGAGGGGCAGCTTACGGCCAGACGCCGAGTGCGCACCCCTCCCAATCGTCCCCCTCCGCCTCTCTCTCCCCCTCCTTCCTGGCCCTCTCCTCATTTCTCCCCCTCCCCATTCCTCCCCCTCATCGTCATCGTCCTCCTCTTTCACCTCCAGCCCGCTCCTCCTGCTCCGCGGCGGCGTCGCAGCCGCCGCATCCGCCGCTGCCACCGAGGAATTGGGCGAGGAGGAAAAGAAAAATGAACTGCCTGCGCGAGGCCGTCCAGGCAGAGGGGCCAGCGGGCCACGGGCTCAAATGGCTCGAAAACGCCCCGTGCCCTCCGAGCTCACGCCGCCAGCACGACCTCCACCAGGCGGCTGCAGGCCCCCTGCGCGCCGACGGACACCGCCGCCGCCTGCCCGAGCGCCTGGCAGAGCAGGCCCTCCGACGCCCTGCTCGGGCACTGCGGGCGCACGGCCTGCATCTCGTCACAAATGCCGCTCACCAGCTCCTGGGCCAGCCGTCTGGCAGCACTGGCCTCCCTCCTGCTCCTCCTGCTCCTCCCTCCTCCTCCCTCCTCCTCCTCCTCTTCTTGCTCGCCCCTCCTTGGGACCCAAGCAGGTGGGTGTGGCGAGGAAAAACCAGAGCCGCAGGACGGAGGAGGAGGAGGAGGAGGAGGAGGAGGAGGAGGAGGAGGAGGAGGAGGAGGAGGAGGAGGAGGAGGAGGAGGAGGAGGAGGAGGAAAGGAGGAGGAGGAGGCGGCGGAGGAAGTGGAGGAGGAGGGGAAGAGGAGGAGGAGGAGGAGGCGGAGGAAGGGAAGAGGAAAACGATGAGGATGATGATGAGGATGCGGATGATGATGGTGATGCCGATGCCGGTCATGACGATGATGAAGAGGAGGGGGAGGAGGAGGAGGAGGAGGAGGAGGAGGAGGAGGAGGATGAGGGGGAGGAGGAGGAAGAGGAGGAAGAGGAGGAGGAGGCGGAAGCGGAGGACGAGGAGGATGACGACGAGGAGGATACACGAGATACGAGATATAAGAGGGACGCAGTGTCCCGTCGGAACCGCCGCCGCCCGCGCTCAGGGCACGGGCGGGGCGACCTTCCCTGAGCGTAGGCCGAGCCTGGGTTTAACCCCAGGCTCGGCCCACGCCGACCTTGAAGAACCACTCCATGGCGCACGGGCCGAAGCGGTCCAGGCGGCCGTACGTGCACAGCACGCGTACTTGAGACCCACTGCAGCACGTCCACCTCCATCTCGATGGGTTGCCCACCGCACGCGGGCCGAAATGCTCGTACAAAGGGTCGTCAGCGCTCTCCCCGCTTTCGCTCTCGTCGCTGTCCTCCTGCTCGAAGGACTGGAGCTGGCGGGCACGATCCCGCAGAGCAGCAGTAGCGCGTCGGTCGCGACGATGCCCGCCATGCTTGAGGATCGTGGTGTCCAGCAGCGGTGGAGGCAAGGTGCGCGGGAGCAGCCAGCTAGGCGGGCGCCGCTCGGCCTCGACGTTCTGATCGTCAAGGCACTGCAAGCACCAGCGCAGCGCCGCGTGGCGCATCCCGCGGGGCTGCTGGTATGTCCTGCGCGAGCCGTCTGGCAAGGTCGTCGAAACGGCACGGCCACGGATGACCTCGACCATTTCTTGCCAGCGCGTCTCATTGGCGTCGGTGACCACATCTTTGAAATCCTGCTTGAACTCCGTGTGGTCGCCGATCTTGGCCGCCAGCACCGCGTCAGCCTGGCGATCTTGCCGCTCCAGCAGTGGCCATGTGGCCGCAGGGCCCTCAGACCCCAGGGCAGGGCGGGAGGACACCGCCGCGGCGCGCGCCAGGCGCGCGGCCTCGGCCACAGTGTCAGCCAGCCTGGCCGCAGCGCGCTTGAGGTGGGCGTCCCCGTCGGCGAACTCCTGAGACCCCGTGTGGTCGTCGCCGACGTGCCCAGGGCCCATCCTGCCGTCTACCGAGGACTGCGTCCCGGCACTGCAGGGACCCCGCCGTCTACCGAGGACTGCGTCTCGGCACGGCGAGGGACTCGTAGGGCCCATCCTGCCGTCTACCGAGGACTGCGTCTCGGCACTGCAGGGACCCCGCCGTATACCGAGGACAGTGTCTCGGCACGGCGGGGACTTTTGTGTGGTGCCTCCAGGCTCCTGGTGAGCAGCACCCAAAATACCAGCGACAAGATGAAAAGCTCCGCGAAACCCTTCAGCATGAGGCTGACCTTGAAGATCAGCGCCAGAAACCTCACCAGCGCAGCAGCCCCCGCTAAGGACTGCCGCGGGGTGGGCTGTCAGATAGACGGCGACCGCAGCACTGCACGCGGCTGCCGGCGGCGGTGGCTCGGCCGTGCAGGCCGTGGCATCGCCGTCCTCCTCGACGGTCACGTCGAGCTCCGCGTCGTCGCAGGACTCCTCATGGAATCCCGTCTCGCACTCGGTCGCCTGGCCCTCTTGGACGAAGGGCGCGACCGTATCCAGCTGGATCGGCACCCGGTCCTCGCAGTAGTCGGGCGCGATTGCGCCGACGAGGCCGAGGGGGACGAATACAGGCGCCTCCGCCCGCAGCACACTCTCGTGTGGCAACACAGCCGTGTCCACCTTGACTGCGCTCGCCACAACAGCAGCTACGCAAATCTCGACCACGCAATCCACTGCAGCCGAAGGCGTCGCTGCAAGAAGCGGCTGGTGCCTCGCTTTGTCGCCGTCGCTAATGATCTCCATGCCTCTGTGCACGAAGTCTATGTCCACGTCGAGCGTCTTGGCCACCGCGCGCAGTGCATCGCCCAATCGATGCATGTGGCGGCCAAGGGCGACGTCAGCCCTGTGGTGCAGCAGCAGCGCCCTGCCGAGGCTGACGAGGCGATCCTCAAGGGCGGCCGCCAGGTCCGTGGGGGGAACCAGCACCGCCACCGCAGCAGCGGCAGCAGCCGTCGCCGTGGCCCCGTCCCGCTCCAGGGCTCGCTCTCTGCGCAGCCTGCGCGCAAACGTGGCCGCCGAGCGTCGGGCCCAGGCCTGCCCGCAACGTGTCCCTGCTCCAGACATCGCCCCAGAGGGCGCCGCCCGAGGGCTTCCCGCAACCATCATGCCCGAACCGCGCGCCATGGGGGATTCGAGCCAGGCTTGAACCAAAATGGCTACGGAGGTGACGACGAGGAGGGTGAGGGAGAAAAGGATGAGGAGAAGGAGGAGGAAGTGGAGGAGACGGAAACGGATGAGGAAAAGGGGGGGATGAGGATGCGGATGAGGATGGGGATGCTGTTGATGATGGTGGTGCTGCTGGTGATGCCAATGATGATGCAGATGACCATGGCGATGATGCTGATGATGACAATGATGGAAAGAAGGAGGGGGAAAAAGGAAGAGGAAGAGAAGGAGGAGGAGGAGGAAGGATAGCACGAGGAGGGTGAGGAGGAGGAGGGCGAGAAGGAGGAGGAGGAAACGAAGGAGGAAGAGGAGGAGGAAAAGGAGGAAGAGGAGCAGGAACAGGAACAGGAACAGTTGGAACATGAGGGGGAGGAGGAAAGGGAGGAGGAGGATGATGATGATGAGGAGGAGGAGGAGGAGGAGGAGGAGGAGGATAACGATGAGGAGGAATACGAAGAAGAGGAGGAGGAGGAGGAGGAGGAGGAGGAGGAGGAGGAGGAGGATGAGGAGGAGGAGGAAAAGGAGGAGTAAAAATATAGTTGCGGGGTACGGGAGCTGTACGAGAGAAAGCATGGCGGCAACAAAATGTACTTTGTGGGGGCTGGACTCATCGTGCGATAAGAAAATATGCGTCGACGCTCGGGCCAAACAGCGGCGCCCTCTCCTATTTGAGTTGGGATTATGCGGTCGATCGCACAGCTCTGGCGGAGAAGAGAGACCACAGGAAGAAGGGAACGTAACTGTCCAACCACAAGAACGTCTTCCTCACCTGTCCTACTGAGCTCGCTCGTGCTCTTAAGAGCGGCACAGGAGGAACCTACGCGTGAGAATGATGATTGTGTCAGCTATTCTGATCCGCGTTGTGTGATGCTGGTGGCCTCGGGCCGCAGACATGACGTCTGTCCAAAAACGTAGACAAGATGATGGCCCCAGGGTCACGTGAGTGATGAGGTGGAAGTGATGAATGGAGATCGACCTTGAGGGATGCGCGCGCTATTTTGGCACGGTCGCCTCACGATCCGTCGGGGAGGAGGAGGAGTAAGAACTAGAGTTGCGGGGTATGGGAGCTGTACGAGAGAAAGCATGGCGGCAACAATCTGTACTTTGTGGGGGTTGGACTCATCGTGCGATAAGAAGATATGCGTCGACGCTCGGGCCAAACAGCGGCGCCCTCTCCTATTTGAGTTGGGATTGTGCGGTCGATCGCACAGCTCTGGCGGAGAAGAGAGACCACAGGAAGAAGGGAACGTAACTGTCCAACCACAAGAACGTCTTCATCACCTGTCCTACTGAGCTCGCTCGTGCTCTTAAGAGCGGCGCAGGAGGAGCCCACGCGTGGGAGTGATGATTGTGTCAGCTACTATGATCCGCGTTGTGTGATGCTGGTGGCCTCGGGCCGCAGACATGACGTCTGTCCAGAAACGTAGGCAAGATGATGGCCCCAGGGTCGCGTGAGTGATGAGGTGGAGGTGTAGTGCCTTGACCTGGTAGGTGATAGAGGAAGTGATGAATGGAGATAGACCTTCAGGGATGCGCGCGCTATTTTGGCACGGTCGCCTCACGATCCGTCGGACACGTTCCGATCGCGACCGCCGTAGACGACCTCCTCGCTGAACGTGTCTGGCTCGGCACTGCTCCTGGGCGAGGGCGGCTGCTGTGGCTCGTCGGCGCTAGCCGCGCGGAGGGCCGCGTTTGCGCGCCGACGCATGACCTTCTCCCCAGCCCTGCCGGTCTTCTTCTTCTTCTTCTTCTTCTTCTCCTTAGGGAGGTCAGCGGCGTCGTCCGGCGGGGGTTTGTTCTTGTCCTTGCCCTTGCCCTTGCCGGCTATCGCCGCAGCGTGCCCGCGGGGGCCCGTGGGCGCCATGGCCCCCGTCCTGGTCCAGGACGGGCGCGGTGTCGACGGGCTCAAAGTCGGTCTCCTGTTCGAGCCGTGGGCCGTGTTGGACTCGTCGTAGACGGTGGCCTCACCGGGTGGCGACGGAGGAGGGCCCTCTGGCGAGCAGTGGCGCGAGCGGTGGCGACGAGGCGGAATGCGCGGCACGCGCTCGCCCGAAGGGGAGCGCGCTGCGCGCGGTGGCGGCGCCGCTAGCCGCGCATGGCCAGGCGGGCGGCTCTTAGGCGACGGGGTGCCGAGCGATGCGCCGTCGAGCTCGGCCAACGGATCCTGTCCGAATCTGGGCCGGGACCCTGCGTTCGTCAGGGCCCAGTAACGCCTGCGTTCGTCTCGTTGTTGGGGGCTCCACGGACTCCGAAGGTGGTGGGGCTTCGCCGTGAAGATCGCGAGTGCGATGCCCAGCGGGACGTTTGCATATGTGGGCCTCGAACAGCTGGTTTTCCAACCGTTGATGCTCTGCGCTTCGAAGGTAAAGCCC